TATATGCGTTTCCTGAAGACAAATAACATCCAGATTTTTCTTTTTCAGGTATTGCTCAATTTTATTCCTCTTTTTTTTCTCATTCATCCCATTAATATTCCAACTCCAGATTTTTAACCCCATAGTTTCTAACTCTCTCTAACCCTCCCTTTATTTTCCTTTTCTTTATGAATTCCCTGGATCCTCCTCTTCTACTTCTCCCTCTGTTTCTTCGTCTGGTCCACTCCCTCCTCCTTCCTCCTCCTCTTTCGATTCTAATTCTCCTGGGACACCTCCCTCCGCTCCCCCCCTTCCATTCATCTCTACTCTTAGCTCTTTATATTTTCTCAGGAATTTCCCGGTTTCCTCCTGATTTAATAACTTGTGTTTTTTACCTCTATATGTAAAAGATAACCCCTCCGGGAATTCCCACCTAAATTCGATTTTATTTTTCCTCAGTGCCTGCACCAATGGTTTATAAGAATCTCTTCGTTTAAGTAGTCTGATTGGGATGTCTTTGAAGATAATGATGTAATTCCCCTCTATATTCAACCTCTTTTCCCTCTTCTTTTGAAGAATCTTGTTCCTCATCTCTTTATCTTTAAATGTAATCAGGCAATCGCCTGTATATCTCTTTGTTCTTGTTGAGCTGACCCGCATTCTAAATGCATTCTGCACATTTTTGGCCATTTCTTCCACTGATATACCCAACCATTCCGCCAGCTCTATTACTAATTTCTCCTTAATGTTTTCATTTTGAGCCTCTGGCACAGCCCTCAGCCTCAGATTAACCTCCCTCTGTCTCAATTCATTCATTGCTATAATATCCTTCATCTCCTCCTGTGCCTTATTTAGATCCATCATTTCTGCTTTCACCTTTTCCTTTTCTCTTTTTATATCCTTTAACTCCAATCTAGTCTTTTTTAATCCTTCTTCATTGAGCTGCGTTCTCCTAAATATTTCCTTTATTTGGCCTTTAAGTTCATTCACCGTTTCATCCATCTTTTTATCCATTCTCCCAATCCTATTATGAATATATTTATTCATGTTGAATTGCTACAGCCTCAACAGCTTTTAGCAATAGTTGGGGGTTTTTCTATCAAATGTATTAAGTTTGATGCCTTCACCCCCACAAAAACAAAAAGTTAAAATACACGCAGGCCAAATATTAGATCCTGCCTTTGGCACTACTAGATACGTCCTGCCTTGCAGATTCTGGCTTCTATATTGTAAACTAGGGTGACACCACGTGGTTTTATGTGTGTACTCCACTTTAAATTTTATACTAACTAAATCACATATTGCTGTATGCTACTCGCACAAAGTAGGCTTCCAACATACTTTTGGTCCTATATGCACAAAGTAGGAAGCGAATAAACACAGAGACTCTGTAAGTGAACTCTTCTAGTACTTCTTATCTACAAACACGTGATCTTGTCCTACAATTGTGAACTGGATGTGACCTTCATCTCAATACCCTTGTCACCCGTGACACATCATTTGATGGCAGAAAGAGGCTGTTGGTTTCTTTTCATCATCAGTGCATTCTAAAAATGGTTTGCATCTCATCAGTTATTGGATGTTCATACCTGTAGAAAAGCAAAGTCCTGGGCCTTGAGCAGGTGTACATTTTTATAGCAACCTGGATGGAGGTCTAGGGAGGTTGGGGCAAATAGACAAGAAGCAGGCAAGTCACAAACACTGTATTGTAGTCTGCAGTGGATTCTACAGTCATCAAGTCCCCTGATCACTTATGTATTAGACCAGCCTTCTCCAACCTGATGCTATCCAGATGTTTTGTACTACCACCTAACTGGGGATGATGGGGGTTGTAACCAAAACATCTGGAGGACACCAGGATGGCAGAGGCCAGATCAGACAGGATCAGATTTGCCAGCTATAAATCATCTGTTCTCTCTTGCTGATTTTCATTCCTTCTTCTTGTACAGCTTTTAAATTTGTAACTTTAACATGGAATTCATCCCATTGGTTAGAAAAGGAGTTCTGCATTGTCACATAATGTACAATTATAATTGCATAGTGAATTAGGGGTTTTGTGGTTCCAAGTTCTTATCAAGACTATGTTTGCTTTACTGGAATAATGTTTTTACTCGTTTCTGTAGCTTCTAAAATTGTATTATCTCATCCTTAGATTACCTCCTGTGGGAAGCACACACTTCTCATCTGATGTTGTTTCTGGTGCCAATAGTTCTGTGTATTTTGGCAATGTTGAACCATATCTTCCAAGTTCTCTTCCCCACTGTAATTTCTCCACCGCTGCTTGTGTGGTAGTAAATTATGGATCACAGTCTTCCATTTGTATTGAGTTTCCATACAGTAGCAGAGCCATCATCACTCTTTCTGAAGCACTGAATGATCTCAGTCCTCAGTTTGAGGGGGAAATCGCCTTCAATTGTTTTTCCTTTAGTTTAGTTTCTCTACATAAGACAAATGCTCCACCTTTTTTCAATTACTCTGAAAATTTTGAAATGTCAAATGTTGAAGTGCCGTGATTCCTCTCTCACTGCACTTCAAAAAAAGTATTAACACCTGGCTAGTTGTATGAGAATATGGATGGGAAGCCAGATTCAAATGCAACATGCTGCAAAGTACTGCCTACAAGTACTGTTCAAATAAAGATTAAATGCTTCGAAACTGAAAACTGTTTGGGTTTTTTTGTTCATACTTTTATATCACCTATTCAATTGTCTGTTCTCTAGGGGGTTCACAATATGTTAACCTTAACCAGCAAAGCATTAGGAGTGTTATGTTTGAATTCCAGATATTGGTTTTGTGGTAATTTTTGACTGCCTCTTTTGAGTTCTGTTTTCTAAGCAATTCATAACACAATGCCAATGCTTATTTATTTGTTTTTAAGTCAAGGAAAGTCCCATCAATGAAGAGATTTCATTTCCAGAACCATGACTCCATGGGGGGGGGAAGCGGGGGAGTGAAGAACCATAAGAGATTAATAATTTATGTTTAAATTTATTTTCCTATTAATTTTATTTTAATTATTGTAAATCACCCTGGCATCATTTTGATAAAGATGTGACATATAACTCTCTAAAATAAATGAAATAAAATTGGCCAGAACCCTTTTTGAACAGTTTAATTGACCATCTTTGGTCAAACTAGTTCCCAGATGTTAGCAAATATGTGAAAAGCTAGTGACACCTTTGCAGTAACATTCTTACTAATATATGCAAAGGGTTGCTTATTTATTAGATTTTTTAAATGGCCAGTGATCCTGTCCTGTTAAAATCAATAAAAACTATATACTTGGAATTCTGCCCATGAAATGTTACTGGATTGTGGTTTATGGATATCAACAGTCTAAGGCTGAATCAAATGCAAACAACAATGAACTAGAAATGCTACCCTATATATTATATATAGAATATATTAGAATCCTATGAGAAATGGGAATCAAAAATTCTATAGTTCAGTAGTTCCCAACATTACAGGACGCAGCATTTTACATTGAAATATGGGATGATGCTTTATTATATAGGACAGGTGGCAACCCTAGTTGGGAAGAGCGAGACAAACTTAACAGCTTGACTGCAATAAGCGAAGAGCTGGAAATCAACTGAATAAGGACTGGCCGCAGAGGGAAAGAAGCAATTACGGATGTAGTCAAGATTAATTTAGTAACTGAGCGCCAAAATGGGAGCCGCTAAGGTAAAACGGCCCGCAAGAGAGCGGCAGGAAAGCTCGCAATGGGCTGGAGCCCCGAGAACTTCCAGACCCGCGCGCAGGCGCAGAAATGCAGCACGCCTCTGTGAGTAGACCGAACACAAGGGGAAAGGGCGGGGAGGCGGGAAAGACAGGCGGCTGCTGCTGCTGCTGAAAGGCTTTTAGCAAAGCTGTGGAAATGAGCAGAAAATGGGGGGGGGGCGCAGAGGAGTCTTCCTGCTGAGTTCGCATGCTTGTTTCTGAAGCACAAAAGTGTAGGCCTGGCCTTGCCTGTCAGGGCGCCTCCTTTGCTCGCTCCCGGACAAGAGAAAAACCGAAACCCTTAAGCCTGAGAGGAGCAGCGAAGAATAACAAGCGTCCTTCTCCAATCGCCGCCCTTCACCTTTCGAAGCACCCCCGCCCCGCCGCCCTTTACCTACTATATTAATGTGAATATTTTGTGGAAGTGGGGCCTATAGTCAGGTCAATATAGTACATACCTGTCTGAAACACACTAGATGAGAACAAGAGGCATCTGTAGCCCCTGCCAAGAGGGGCGAGGGCTCGCTGCTGCTTTCCGGCAGGTGGCAGGACTTGCAGGGATGTAGATCCGCCGCTCCTTCCCTTCCCAAACTTCCCTTTTTAAAGCAAGCGTCTGACAGGCAGTAGCAGCGTTGTACCAGTGCCTGTGACCCAGGGCCAGATTTAGGTTTGATGAGGCCCTAAACTACTGAAGGTAATGGGGCCCTTTATATGTCTAGCTGTCCTTTGTCAACAACAAATTGTCACTGTTTTTTGTGTTTAAAATATTGCTATATGGTAGATAGATAATTTATTACGGTCAAAGACCAGCTGACATAACATAACACAATAAAAACAGCGTTCATAAAGATAAAATATACAATCGGAGCAGATTGCAGCAATAGCTCATGAGTTGAAATTGAAATATATACATATACCCGTACCACTGAGATTTGGGCTACTATAAAAAATGGACCCTGAGGCATCCCAAAGGGCAACTTCAGCATTTCCCTTAAGCTAAATGCTATGTGGTAATTTAGGGGCCTAATAGGTATCTAAAGCCATTTGCACATGACAAAATATGTATTTTATCAAAGTAATTGTTGAACTGAAATACAATTAAGAAGTATATTAATACTGAAAGACAATTAAGAAGTATATTAATAGTGAAAGAATTATTAAGCTCTAACTTAAAATGATTGCGGGCTCATTGCTTACATCATAGGAGCCTACACAACACAAAACACTGTTGTGTATGTAGGTTTTATTTTATTTGTTTTTTATCTTATATTTTGGAAATGTACATCCAGTTTAGTTTTTCTTTAAGTTTTTTGGGGGCCCCCCCAAGAGCGTGGGGCCCTAAGCTATAGCTTGTTTAGCTTATACAGTACGTAAATCCAGCCCTGCTGTGACCCACTTTTGGATCCCAGTCTACAAGTTGGAAAGATGCTCCTCTAGCTGACCTTACCGTATCCTGCTTTTCATGCAACTGTAAACTAAGGTTAAAACAAGCCTTCATTAATCAACTTGGGTATTATGTGTGAGCCAAGCCTCAGTGCCTTAACTGTGGTTTGTTAACTAAAAGAAATCGTGATATGTTGTGGGCTTGCTGGCATTAACTTTGGCTTAGCATCCCAACAGTTCTTTAAATGGTTTAAGTGTGGCTCCCCCCGCCCAACAGGCTCCAAGCTACTGTATAGTGATGCTAACCCGGTTGAAAAATGAAACCGCTTCCCATGTTTGGCAGTTCCCACTAGCTGTGTTAACAGCAGTGTCATCTTTATCATGAAAGTGTTAACCTGAGCTCAGGTTGCCAGTGGGTGTGGCTTAGCAGGCTCTCAGCAGCCTCTGACCCCGCCCCCTTTCTCTTTTCCTAGAAGAAGCAAAGAAACCTCTGTATTCAACAGCAGGTGGGAAATACAAAATAGCTGGAAGGAAATCAAGTCAAGGTTTATTTGATCATATGAGCATAGATTTGTGGTTTGCTTAATAAACTATGGTTTAGTTTTGGCCTATCATGATGTGTGAACCAGGTCTGTATATATTGCTATACTGATCATTCTGGTTATGTCCCCCCCCCCCCAAATTAGAAATTAACCTCTGACTGGACTTTTAGCACAAAAATACACATAAGTGTTGAGAAGTGTGATAGCATCTCTATCTCTTTCCAAAGTTTTTGTAATATTAGTCATGGGGGGAGGGGCAGGACTGAGACCTGTGACTGTGTCCCTTGTGCTGGCTTCTGTTAAAACGTTGGGTTAGCTGAATCCAAGCTATTATGTTTTTAGTAAAGGCACACTGTGAGGGGGGAAAGTTAATCTCCCCTCCTCTCCTCTGTGATCCAGTCTCATTCTGGATCACTTTCCTCCCTACAGCCCCAGCTATTTCAAAAGCTTTTAAAAAGATGGGGATACTTTGACATATATCTATCGCCATATATCTCAGAGTATCTGAGTCAAATGAAATACACAAGGGGTGTGTTGCTGGTTTGTTTATTTAATTAAAAAGATTTCTAGCCCACCCCTCTACCAATTGGTCTTCAAGGCAGTATATACATAAACTGCTAAAACATGCAAGAAGAATATATAAAAACATTTTTTTAATGGAGCAAAAGAGCTGCTACTATATTTTGGACCAGCTGCAGTTTCAAAAAAACCATTTCAGAGGCAGTCTGATATATACTACATTATAATAATCTAACCTGGACATTACAAATTGTGTCAAAATGCCACAACTGGAGCACCAGTCAAAGTTGGCAAAAGATGCTTCTGGTCACAGATGCCACTCGAGCATCCACACAGGACCTTGTTTGCCCAGTTGAGCATGTGTATTCTATACAAAGCATACTGAAGTGCATTTCTAAACATTACTTGGACATGCCAGAGAGGGCCCCCACCTGCAGGCCCATGCAGAGCTTGTCTGAGGCCTAGGACAGGAGTCTTGTTAGAATAAAGTTACACACTCAAACAAAGCAACCAGTCCCTGGCAGGGTCCCCCGAGGCCTGGGGCAAGTGTACCCTGCTGCCCACCCCTGCTCTGCATGGGCCTGCACCCCTATCAGCATTGCCCAACAACACATCCTCAAATATTTAGCTGTATATATTTTTCATCCACATCTTTATCACACTAATGTAACACCAGTATAACCTTGGTAAGGATAAGCTCTAAACGGACCTTGGACACAGATAAGAAAAAGCTGAAAGATGGATTTGATAAAGATGGATTTGTTTGTGGAGAAAAGATGGATTTGTTTGTGGAGAAGGGGTTAACTGGAATTTAAACAGATTGTAACAGAGGAGGTTGTGGTGGTGATCTAGAACAGTGTTCTTTAACCTTAAGTCTCTGGCTGTCATTGGTTTACAACTCAAAACATCCCCAGCCAGTTTTGCCAATGGTCAAGGATGTTGGGAGTTGTAGTCTAGGGATCCATGGTTGAAGAACACTGATCTAGGAAAAGCTTTTTGGGAAGTGTGGCATGTGAGTAGTCTCTGGAAAGCAGAACACAAACTGGCTAGAGGGAGTGAAGGTCAGGATGTTGCTTGCAATGATGGCAGAAGATAAATCATGCAGAATGTAGGGGATGTAGAATACAAACAAATCTCAAGGCCAGCATATAAATACTACTTTCCACTGAGAGACTTGTTCAGGTTCAGCATGAAGGTGAATACTGGAGTCTTTGAATAGGGCATTATCACCAACTCTCTTTCTCCTTACCATGGTTTTCTGTTAGGAGATCTGCTATGTAGGGTCCCATGCCATTGAACGAATGGCATTAAGTGTGTCGCGTCTACAGTATCAGTGTAGGAGGAGGACACAGTTTGCTCTGCCTCATTATATGGGAAGCCAAAGTACTGTGCTTGCTGGACATTTGCTTGCTCTCTAGGAAGTGACTGCAGAGTCAAATTCTGCTGGGCCTCAGTACCAGAAGGATGTGTGTAATGGTCTAGTGCGTTGAATGAGCTGGAATCCATAAAAAATAATGGGTTGTAAGATTTGGTCTGCAGATGTCCAGGATATTTCATATCTCCATCCTTGCAGCCTGAAAACGACTCAGCCAAAGAAACCATAGAGCTATGTTGTCCTTCATGTTGGTCCTTCAAGCCATCCCTTAGCAAACTAGAAGGTGTTTGTGAGGTCGGGACTGACACTGCTGCTGTTTGCATTCTGTAACATCCTTGAAAATTACATATTTGTAAGCAAGGGCAATCCCAGCACAGACTGTGAGGAGACAGAGATGAAGTCTGGTTGTATTTGAGATAATGATCCCTACGTGGGTCACCCACAATGTCTTCATATTTACCAGGTCCAGCAAGAGTATTTCCAGAGTATTTGCTGGCACTGAGAGACAATGCAGTCAGTTGCTTTGACATGGCCCCTGCCTGATCTTGTAATTCAGTTGATTCAGGCTGCCAGTTGTCTTGATGTATGTTTGTCCAGTCACTTGTTGCATCCCTGTTGTCTTCTCCTTCCCACTGTTGGGGATTACTGTGAAATGTTGCCAAGCTGTGTGCTGAGCTCCTGCCAATAACACTACCACCGTTAGAGCCAGGTAAATGTGATGTATTCCCATCTCTGTTCTTTACTGGATTTGCTCTTGTCTTCTCTTCTTCTGTCCTCTGAGCAAGTGAGTTGATCTTTGTCTTAGCTCGGAGCTCATCAGCTACAGAGCGATGGTCCCAAGTCAGTCTTTCTGGGTGGTAATATTTGCACTTGATGCCATATGTGCATTTTTTGCCTGTGGGGGGAAAACGGAGCAGATAATTTGCTAAATACATGTTCAGTGGGATACAACACAGGGTCGTGGAAGCATGCCTGCACTGCAGATAAAAGCCTGTTGGATGCTTTTGAGCTTATCAGTTTATAGAACAATTAATATTAAGAGCGAATGGTATGTTTTTCAGAAACTCATGTCAGTCGCTGCCCTGGGTATGCCTAGAGTATTCTGATACTTCATCTTTGTATCAGAAGGGCCATTCAGCCCCTTTGTGGCCATTGTCAGAACAGCACGCTTCTCCTAACTTGAGGATAGCTTTGCATGTGCAGTGAGAATGGGGCATGTATATTTCTCACATTGCTGTACAACATGTGAAGTGTGGGTATCTTACCCCAGGCTATTGTTTCACTTGGAAGACATGCAGAAGCGTATCATAATGCTTTGCTCAATAATAACCCCCCGTGTTCAATCTGTATGGTGAGAGTCACTAGAAGGTCACCAGCAGGAGAGAAAATAGCAGTTAGCACCCCTCCAGCTGAGAGCCTTCCCTTCAGTTACCAGCAACAATCACAGGAGCCACTGGAGGGAGAGGAAGCCGCAGAACCTTCCACTGTGCTTAGATCCAGCTCCATGACCTGCTGAAATCTAGAACTAGTGTCTGAATTTGTTATTTTCCTCTACCCTTTTGTTCTCTCTGCTTCTTATTTTCTTTCTCTTTTGCCAATTATTTTTTTATTTTTAACAAATTAACACAAAACTAATTCAAATTTAATACAAATTTCTTTTTATGCCCTGTCTTTTATGTAATTGTTACTGTCAGGCTTGCAGTCTTAGTATTGACCTCTGTAACACACTTTAGGAGTCTTTTTTTGGCTGAAGAGAAGGGTGAAAATACTCTAAATAAATAGACAAGCAGATATAGAGTGGGGGAAAGTAGCTATTACGTCACATACTACCTGCTATCTTTTGCAATGAAATGGGGGAATACTTGCAATTGTTTTTAAGGTGGCAAAAAGTTATGGTGTGCACACCTGCTTTATGTGCTTCTGTTGTCACCTCTGTTGAAATATTTGTGAGCTCCAGAAGTTGAGGGAGCCTGAGCATTTCTGCATGAGATTGATGCACATGTTCCCCATTTGGATTTTACACTGAAAACATGAAAAGCAGGTGCATGAATCACCCACCAGAGGAATTAGAATTGCATGAGGGAGAGCTGGGATGAGCACACTAGGTGCATTTCCCCACTGCTTTTTTCATCATTCTCCACAAATTGGAGGCAAATGTCTGCAATGGAGGCAAAAATAATGTGTGGCGTCTACATGCGTAGGGAAGTTTCCCCACTTCGGAATTTCTCTCCAACTTGAGTGGAGCAAGCATGTATACATCTGCTCTCCTTGGTTGTATGAGAGATTGGAATGTCTGAATAACACTCGTGTCTTGGTTCTTTCTCTAGAGCCTCAAGTTAATCTCCCTGGGGATCTCACCAGGGAGGCAGATAAAGCTGTGAATGGTATTAAACAAAACCTACCATAAGGACAGAGCTGCCATTTTGGCTCGGGAATCTGTGGCATCTTGCTGAGAAAACTGTCAAGAGAGGGTCCGTGCCGGCCTAAGGGATCATCAGGAGGCATAAATCTAAAAAGGAAATGATCACAGTTTATTGGACAAACATCACCATATTTTCTGAAGTGTATTTGAAGTTTACTGAAGGGATTCTTAGCAAAAAAGATTTGCAACATGTACACAGTTCCTCCACTGATGGGAAGATAGGTAGCATCTTATATCTAGCTGTATTAACTAGATAAAAAATGGGCAGAATTAACAATCTGTGGCAACATAGGTACATACAATTAAGTTACTTTTTTGGTTATGGCCAAGGTTACAAATAATATGTGTACTAACAGATGCCAAGAAAATGTCTTAAAGGATGCCTTTTCAAAAAGCTAAGTACTGTACTTTCCCCCCTTAATGTAATGAGAACTGCAGCTGACCATACTAAGGTTCAGTTTCACTCAGATACGTGACCCAAGGTGAAATAATATTTGCAAATAGGCCAGTCTCTTACTTGTCATTGACAAAGGAGTACATCAGTAGTCGCTGTTCAATGAACCATTTCCACTCAGGATTTTCGTTCTGCAGGTCCCGAAAGTTATCGTTGGAAACAATGATCCCATCTTGCTCATACGCCAGTTTAACTATGTACCGATCATCATAGCATACCAGCCTTTTGCCTTTCATTCTGCGGGATGGTGTGTATACAAGAATTGCTTCCTTTGCAAGTTTTTCAAGAACATGCTGATCTATGTAAAAATAAGAGAAGAGAATTAAACAAAACAAAAAAAAGAAGATCCCAAGCAGAAGTTTGGAATAAGACCACCACCACAAATCATGCAGGGAATCCTCAAAAATGTGCTTAAAGGTTACTCCATTCAAGTCACTATATTAGTAACTAACAGCATAATTAGCTGCTCAAATTAAATTTAATTATTTGGATTCAATCCATTTTAATTCCTTTGATTTCAGTGTAACTGGAATGTGAACTGATCTGTAAATTACTTGCTTAAATTTAAAGAGGGCCAGAACTCCACAATGTGGATTTTGCATGCTCAGCACTTAATAAACTGGACCAATCAAGAGCTCAAGTTGGCTTGTGCTAAGAGTGATGTCATCAGAGTAAAATGGTGGATTAATATCTGAGCTCTGCTCTAATCTGCACTATCAGTGATCTGATCTACCAGTTAATAAGCACAATTCAGGTCTACATGATCACCTTTCAGTAGAGTGAGTTAGCTTGCAGTCCCAAGACAATAAAGCAGGTCATCAATTTATGGAACAGACGGGAAGAGAACTAGGTGAATTACAGTGATGCAGTTGAGGATGATGCATATAAATCTAAAAAATAGTTTGCTGTTCACATAGTAGAGTAGACGTTAACTTTGGGAAGCATAACATTCCACTATGAGTTGGAATTCATTTCTACAGGGATAAGCATAGACAGATAGGTTGAAACAAATGCCACTGACATGGGTGAGGAACTTCAGCTCATGAATCAAATACAACCCTCCTGGCTTCTCTTTCTGGCTCTTGAAATTCTCCTCCAGCCATAACCTTCACTTTCCTTAAGTGTTTTTTGTGTATGTTTGTAGAAACATATTGCTTTGGGCTGTGCAAGAGTCACATCGGTTGCTCTGAGACTTTTTCTTCTGGACTAACCCGCTACTGGCATGTGGCCCCTGGAAGGTTGTGCATGAGGAAATGTGGCCCTTGGTTCCCTTGCCACTCTGTAGTCTAAAAATCACTTCCTCCATAACCATCCTTTAATGTTTTCATGTTATTAGTTAATGTGTTAGCTATTGAGTACCTGCAACATCCTTGTGAATTATGGAAATGCATAATGTGATATTCTTTCTTTTTTCTTTTTACCAGTGCCAGAGGGAAGAAGGGATGTTTTCATTCATGAGCTGCTAACCCTAGCCATTGACCTGGAGTCTCGGACATCTCAATATTAGTGTTAGAAACACAAGGCAGAAAAAGATGCCAGGCTATTTGTAAGAGACATGTTAGTTGGGGAGACAGAATGAAAGTGATTGGCTCTCTTGCACTCTTTAAGCAATACAGCAAAGGTTTGAAAGAAAAATATTTAAATACATAAAAGTCTCTGTTTATAACAGGAAATAATTCAGTTGTATCTACTCTATTTTGCCCATCTTCCAAAGCAGACCTGTTTGCACCAACTCCTGTGGGATGTGTCTGAACTAGGAGCCAAAATGGCGACCTCATATTTTGCAAGCTTTTATATCTAAAATATGTATGGGAGGCATGCCTACCTGTAATGGGGTTATCAAATCGGCTTGGTTCCTTTCTCCATGATGGGACAAAGACTTTGATATATTGATGACCTCTCTGTTTGAACCAGTCCACCACCAGCTGAATTCCCAAGCATGAAAACACTTCCTTATTTCCATGACTGGAAAAAAAAGAAAAGACAGAGAGAAAGGAAGTATGTTTTAGGGTCAGAAAGTCTTGCTGCTTTTTGACAGTTTCTGCCTATGATATCTGCTCAGTTTACATGTGTTCTAGTATTTTGTATCATTGATATTCTGTAGGTATGTCTCATGAAAATGTGAGGGCAGAGGCAGCTATTATTGCTGACTGTTTCCTTCCCTTCTATGCCCCTGCTGTTCAGTAGTCACCTTGGGGAATGATGAATCAGAGCTAGATTCTTTATCATGGCAAATCAGCTCAGAAATATATGTAGATGGAGGAAATTAAATGGGCAAGGATATTAAATAGGCAAGGCATGGAACCAAGTATAGTACAGGGATGAATGAAATTTCTAAAGTAATTTTACTTCAGCCTCTACCATCATCATCATTTAATTTGTATGATGCCTTTCCATAGTTAAAATGATGCTCAAGGTGGCTGACAACATGACAAGATTTACCTAATTAGAAACATAACAAAAAGTCACAAACAACACATCAAAAAGTGTACAACCAAATTCAACAATTTCCCACATAAATCATAATGAGATCTAAAAACACAAAAAAACAAAAAAAAATTAATATCAAGAACAACAACAACAAAAATCCCAACACAACACCCTAAAAAATGCCACAGCCCAAGAGTCTATTCAGTTGCTTTTTTGACTGGATTCAGTCAGGGCCATGCTCTCCCAGGCCAGGTGCACTGGACTTTATGATCACCAAACTTAAATGCTAATCTAAGCCAGCATCCTTATTACCTCTCTATCAAAGAGATTCTGCATGATCATAGAGTTCCCATCCCCAGGATTGTTGTCCTAGGTTGTTTCCCTTGCCTACCTATATGAACAATTCTAAAATCATTGACTCTCATACGCAGGTCTGTGAGTTTATCTGAAACTGAACTCCACCCACAAGAGAAAGGAACCTTGCAGTTGTTTACCAGGATAAAAAGAGGTGAGTCATTGATTTTATTGGCATTTGCTTAATCTTTCAGCAGCCTGTTGAGTATGAAAACAAAGAGGTTTAATTTAGTTTAGGGCAACAGTATCCAACCTAGTCCAAAATATTTGGAGGGCACCAACTGCTTTAGGGCTTCCTGTCCCTGGATATTTGATATAAAAAAGGACAAGGCAAAATGGAAAGTGTTAATAGTGGGAAGCCAGTAGTGGAGTTTGTGGCTCTAACTGCGATAATACAGGGGCAGGTTGTTGGTAGCTGAAACAGAAGCCACAGTGGCCCAGTTCATGTGCTATAGTATCACGAATGCAGCAATACAGGAAGGAGCAAAGTGGCTCATGAACAGTAAACCATAGTTTATGGTCTACTATGATCTGCAGACACAGCCAAAATCTGCATAATTAAGGAGCAAATGAATACTTAGCCATAAAAAAATAAAATTAATATCCATTATATGCCAATTGTGCTGCCAAGCTTTCTCAAAAAAATCATGGAGATTGTAGTTTGGAGCAGGTGTTGAGGTTTCTTTGTTAGGAATCCCCAGTCCACTTTACAGAACTGCAATTCCTAGGAATCCTTGGGGAAATGGCATCATTGTTGAACTAAGGTTGCAAGCCTAACCCTGCTAGTCTGCACTGAATTCAGAAGGATTGACTTCTGAGTAGACATGGTTAGGATTATGCTGTAATTTAAGTCTGTAGAAGAGATATACCTCTTAGGGAGTTCCTGTTTGGGAAGCAGAATTCTAGCATGCTGAAGAGATTGGTTACATTTCCCCTTAAATGCAAGCTCTTGCAGCTATTCTCTGTCACCATCAACCAATCTCTGGCTTTATCATCAGGAAGTCGGCCGTTTGTATAGAGGCCTGATATCATAACAAATAACTCTTATCTCCTTCTGGAGAACATAATTTTGCATCAAAGCAGTCAGCGGCACAGCAACTTCCTCATGTGCAAACTTCTGCATGGCTTACTTTAAAGGGATGAGAGAGATGAGATGCATGCCAGTTTGGGGAAATGAGGCAAATGGGATAGTTCACACATGCATGCTTATCTCTTGCTTGATGACACACGCTTGTATGAATGTGCCATCATCGATTAACCACCCCAAGAGAAGAGCTTTCAGATCACCTCACTCTCATTGCTGCAAACATGATACAAATCAGTTATTCAGTTCACTTGGAAATGGGGGTGATGCTCCTCTGAACCCCATAGTGCATTTCCTATACCTCAGGTGTCCCATCTTATATCTATGGACAAGGTTTGGCTTGCACCACAGGGCAAGCTTAAGAAACAGAGAAGTCGCCGAGATAACAAAATGAAAAAGATGCTTGCCTCATAGCAACATTGCTGCCATCAATCACAATAGCTCTCAAGACACTGGAGGGATCATCTCCTTCCTCAGCAGACTGTCTGGAAATTGGCAAAGGCCTGCATGATCCATGGGCAGCGGGGGTGGGGTGAAAACTTGGCGTCCAGTTCTCAGGCTCCTGAGGCCTGCTGCCTGCCTGAACCAACTCTTGCAGCAAATCGTTCTCTGAGGCGTCTTGACCTAGTTTCTCCAGCACTTGGCGGACTTGCTCCTTTCCGTAGCCCAACTTGTGGAAAAATTCCAGTTTGCTCTGTTGCGCTTCCATTTCTCCTCCAAAGATAGGAAACTCACACGGGCACTTTAAAAATGGAGACCCTCCTGTGGTTTCGTGTGTGCTTGTTTGATGGCGGACTTCCAGTCAATGGTATTGATCCAACGCAGCCAGTTCAGCTTTAGAGAGGAAACAAAAAGAAAACACGCATTTAGTGATTTGCTGTTTAGTAAATACTAAAGATAGCAACCTTCCGTAGTCTTCAAAGTATGAACCATGTATCATTTAAAGGATAATAAGCAGCTGTCATGGACTTGGAGAACGCTTGTCTGATTCCCTCCATTTATTTATGTATGCTTTCTTAAAAAGACAGTGTTTTTATAAATTATAATAAACAAGTAGTTACATCACCATGTTGGCAGGATTTTGCAAGTAACATTAATATATCAATTAAACTTTTAAAAATAAAATATTCTATTTTATGTGTCCCTCCTGTTTCTAGCTTGCTGTTGAGCTAATAGATATTCCTAACTGGTGCAATTATGCACATTTTATGTGGATTAAATAATACCGAGTTCCAAAATATTCCTGTTCTTAGAGACTTCAGCCCCCCTTTTCCTAATACTAGGGAGGAGTAATTTGCACCTTGAGAAGAATGAACAGTAAGTTGGCTTTCTAAAGCCAAAAGGCAGGCCATAAGGTATAGTTTTCTGTTAAGAAAAGCTCATGAGGACATTTGAGAACCCTTGCTGCACAGAGCTCAGTTCATATCAGCTGCCTTTGACTTACCAAAAGACTCCAGCCTTTCTTCTGATATTCTGAGCACAAATGATCTCCTCTTATTAAATATACCCTCTGTACAACCAATATTCGTCAGAACAGCAGGTATGTTCCTAAATAGGTGTGCAAGAGTGACGCATGCACAAGCCTATACATATGTGCATACGCACAAGCAGCTCAGGCTTATCTCTGATTATAACATCCCAAAACAACGTAACTGAGGGATTGCACTTCTGCAGTGTGGTTAGTAAAATACAGATATCATCTCTCTTAGTTTGTGAAGTGGCTTCAAATGCCGCAAGTGCTTAGCAATTAACAAATCTTTTAAGCATTGAAAAACAAAAACAAATTCTGCCCAGCTTGTTGTGGTTATTTAGTTTCTTTGAGGATGGCTGGTCTGTGCTGGATTTTTATTTTTATTTTTTTGGTATGACTACCAATGTTCATAATTAGAAGTGATGAGGTTATGAAACAGGATAAATACTTGTGGCATTTTTGGGGGGGCAGCGGATTTACCTCCAAATGATGCCACCATGCACCCCTAATCTCATCAACTGCAATGCTTTGTGACTGAGGGGGAAACACCTGTATGATGGGGTCCAGCATTATCATGGAATTCAGGCTGCTACGGTGGTGCCATTTTGCCCTCTGGGGAAGCCACTGCAATTCTATCTGTTCAGCATCATCTTGGAGATTTGTCTCACCACTACCAGCAACAGAAAGATTTAATAGACAATGAAAAGAAAACTGGGGCTCGTCGTATACATGGGTAGTGCTGAGGGGTGTTTTCTTAATTTGGAGTCCCTAAAAATAGGGGGCGTCTTATACATGGGGGTGTCTTATACATGGAAAAATACGGTATGTAATACCTACCAACCTCTAGGTATTGTATAACTCAGTGTTTCCCAAACTTTGGTCTCTCTCCAGCTTTTTTTTGAACTACAGTTCCCATCAACGCTGACCACTGGTCCTGCTAGCTAGGGATGGTGGGAGTAGATCAAAAAGAGACCCAAGTTTGGGAAACACAGGCATAACTAAACACTAATAGCGATTGCAGCTACTTATTCAAAGGCTTTATCAAATGGCAGCCTCACAGGGTGAGAGCCAAGCTACATGTCAAATGCGTATTTTGACCTTTCAAGTCTGATTTTTCTTTTTAAAATAGCAACCTTGAGTAGGGGAGGCATTAGGGTTTGGTGGGGGGGTCTAAAAAAACCCCAGCCAGCAGGTGGGTTGCACCAGCAGCAACGGCAGCTGCCCAATGCATATAAATCCCCTGAAGCTGCTATTTACATTGGGCGGTTGCCGTTGCTGCTAATGTCTGCACTGACATACAATCACTTTCAGAGCACCATTCACAGGGTCATTGCCCTGCTTGTATCTTCACCAAACATGCTCCCAAATGTTACAGGGTTGTTGTTGTTGTTTGACAATTCTGACAAAGGATGACGTCTGATTTAGGCCAGCAGCTGCAACAGTACATCAGATGTTGCCAAAGCAACTTCAAAATGACACAGAAAGGGTGAGCTCCTTATCTTCTTTGCAAAGAGGCTTGCACACGCGAGCTGTGTGCTGTGGTTTCCTTCTGGCCTGTAGTGTTTCCAGCACAAAACCAGAGCCTAGCAGGGGGAAGAGCTTCCAGACTGCTCAGCTCACTACTTGGCTTCTAACACATGCCTAATAGCAACGGGTGTGTGCAGCCCTACACATTACTAACTGCAGAGGAGCTGAACCCATCCAGCTCTGCTCCAGCCCTTGGAGAAAAAGCTGCCTCATTTAAGGAATGAACCAAAACAGATAAAAATGCTTCCACTGGGCATGCAACTGGCCTTGGGGGCATAATAGGCATTGCTCACTCAGCATTTTACACTCCCATTCCCATTATCTAGAGTCTTAGGAAGGGGGCTGCAGTGAGTGCGGCCCACCTCGGGTGTCATGACTGAGAGGAGTGACAAAATGGCAGGTGAGTGGGCAGCACACCTCGTGCCCAGCAGCAGCAGCAGCTCTTCTGACCCAGCGGCAGAGAGCAGCCCTCCTCAGCCGTGGCGAGGCGCACCGTTGCTGGGTCATGTCTGACCCAGCTGCAGAGGGCAGGAGGAGAGTGAGCAACAGCTTCCCTGCCCCTCTCCTACCCTGAACTGTGGCGCATGGGAGGGCACCCTTTGCACACACACCCCTTGGGAGCTCGCCCTGCTCTGGGCAGCGCAAGCATATGCTCTGCATCTGCCTTTATCTAATTGATTCACCTGCCAGGATGTGGAAGATGGATTCACATGGAGCCTTGGGATGTGGAAGATGGAGAGCTGTGGGAAACCTAATGCCAGGCTTAGGTTTGTGTGTGCTGTGATTGAGACAGCACTCAGTCCAATCAGTCAGAGAGGAACTTCAAAAATTAACTGCTTAAAAATTACTTTGAATCAGGGAGATCAATCTGTGAAAGTATAAATGTTTAATATTGAGGATGTATCAGTCAAGCTGGTGGTGAAGTGAGGGGGTGGACAGATTAACTGAAACAATTACTAATTACTGCTGATTATGAAGAACTAAAGTTTTACACTTTTGCCCATCAAGGGTTATGTCATAATAATAAAAGTGTTAACTTTTATGGTGCTACACCCTTATTTTTTTTGGTCCGCAATAACCTAACATGGCTATCCACCTAGAAATGGTTACTTTCTATGGCCATTTCCTATCCTTGGCTCTCCCATCAGTCTTTTCTTCCTTACTGTTGAAAACAAAGTAAGTTTCTGGTTAAAGGGCATGGTGTGTGTGTGTGTGTGTGTGTGTGTGTGTGTGTGCATTCAAGTTACTGTAGATAGTGCTGCATAATACAATAGCAACATAACACCTTGAGCTGAAACTCTCCCCCTTTTATTAATCTAGCTCCTAGTTTTAATGAACAGTAGCTGCCGATGGCACAATGCCACAGGTTACAGGCAGGGAAAGTAAATATGAGTGTCTCTCACTTTCTGTTTTCCCTTGCAGCTGAAAGTGTGCAAAGCCACAATTTGGTTTTGCCTATATGTTTCAGCAAGAGCTTTCTGATCGGAAGTAATGTTATCCAAAGGACATGGCACGCAACGAGAATGCAGTTTTGAATCCTTCAAGACGAAACAGTGCCTTGAAGATGGACCTTTTGACCTACAGAACCTCATCCCCAATTCCCTACGACTCAGTGGTAAAAAGCACTCTGCCTATGCTTGCAAGGATTATATTGGAAGGGCAGGAGACATACGTGACAAACATAACAACAAGTGGGGCAAGGTCCAAATCCTGGTTCACACTAAGCTCTGCTTTGCTTCGCTAACCCATCCAAGTGCATTTGCTAAACACGTTGAAAAAAATAGTTGGTACTTACAATGAAGTGCAATGTCTTCCCTCAGTGACCAGAGAAATGTGAGGCTGGATGGGCCATCGCTGTTATCCAGCAGCTCATTCAGCAGGCTACAGTGCATTTGCAATTCTATGCACTCAAGGAAATGCTGCCTGTTTTTCAAGGCGCGTTGTTATTGGTGCCAACTGAAAGTGCAATGTGCAAACTGCAACTCATTTCATGGGAACATTTTCACTTCCTTAATTGGACATCTCATAAAATTTAACTCATTAGACTTTGCTTTTGCAAAATGAAGCAAGGAGAGGGGTGTGTCAGGACAAAGGCCATAGCCATTTGGTGATAAGTACAGATATGGTTTATAAAAGCACGTTATCTTTTATTGGAACAACCTTTCTTAGCGTAAGCATATACAGAATTTTGTGTCACACAGAACTTTTCATTGATTGTGTTCGAGCATTCAATTAAAAATGGTAAACATGGGGGTCCCCCCCCCAGTGTTTGAAACTCCCATTGTTCTAGGCGCCTTTTGTGACAGGGAATTTCATTAGCACGAGTGGTTTCTAAGCTCTGGGCGCAGTATTGCACCTAAGATTTCAGATTAAAACTACAGAGTGGAAGGAAAGGAGGAGCTTTCTCTGCCTCCCCACTTCCAGCTACTCTCTGAAGACTAGAGAAGAGACCCTCTTAAGAATATAAGGGGGTAGGCAGGAGGACTCGACTATGTGAAAAATGAACATAATATTTTAGCTGCAGTTCATTCATTTTCAGCTTTGTATTCTTGTTATAAAAAAGCGCGCCTAGACATTCTGTTGTTGTGCCAATAACCTAGATCAGGGGTCTGCAACTCACGGCTCCGGAGCCGCATGTGGCTCTTTTACACCTTTGTCACGGCTCCGGGGCAGATACTAGCGAGGGGAGGAGGCGCATTGTGCACCCTGACACTCCCCACTGTGGCGGGCACTGTACTGGCTGTGACGTCGCATGGGGGCGGTGCGTGCGTTAGTCACGCACCGTTCCGACGTCACCTTCCCGGTTTTGTGGCTCCCAGTTTTTCCCCCCTTCGGAAACGGGTCCAAGTGGCTCTTTTTGTCTTAAAGGTTGCAGACCCCTGACCTATTTTAAGGTGCCATTTAGCTCCTTGCTTTCCTATCTCAGTTTCTAACACTGTTTTTTTCTATTACTATTGAGGGTTCTCCACTACAGATTTAGCTATGCACCTTCGAGTATGCACCTCTTTAAAAAACAAAAACTGGTCACAGACCACTTTCTATACTCTCCAAGAGGAAAAGCAGAGGTCCACAGCTAGCAATATCAGAAGCTGTGTAAGCTCACTGCATAGTCCTGTGGGTCCCAGATGTTGGAAGCAATCCAGTGGTAGAAGAACCCAGGCTTCAGTGTGCTGCAAAATGAGAAACCTTATAAGATATTTTGAAATGGAATTGTGAATATTTCAGTACTTTGGAAGCAAAATTAACTCACGCACACCTAGCCCCTACAAATGTCATGGCCTAGCATTAAGCTGGTTTGGTTTCTCATGAGAAGCCCATGAAGCACCTTTTGGAACTCCCGCTGAAGGAAAACCCACCAGATCCCTTTGCTGCTGCTAGTTAAGGACATGGCAGAAAATCAGTCTGCTTGGGAAGGCAGTTGGCAGGTGAAGGCTTTTAGCTGCCGGACCGCCCTGATGAATCTGTTTCAGTTTTAAGTGTTTTTACATTACAGTGGTACCTCGGGTTACAGACTCTTCAGGTTAGGGTCCCAGAAATAGTATCTTGGGTTAAAAACTTTGCTTCAGGATGAGAACAAAAATTGTGCAGCAGCGGTGCTGCGGCAGCAGGAGGCCCCATTAGCTAAAGTGGTGCTTCAGGTTAAGAACAGTTTCAGGTTAAGAACGGACCTCCAGAACAAATTAAGTACTTAACCCGAGGTACCACTGTATTGTGTTATCCGAGTGTAAGCTGGTGTGTGAGCCTTCCCCTCCAGTTCAAAAAAGAGATCTTAAGGAGAAAGGGATTGAGGGGGATGAGTGCATGGATTTCTGAAAACGTACTTTTGTGTCTTGGTACCACCCAAATGTTATGGATTCCCAGCTCCCACCAGCCTTATGCAGCAAGGCGAAAGGTCAGAGATTATGAAGAAGAGGAGGGGTTTGGACTTGATATCCCACCTTTCACTCCCCTTAAGGAGTCTCTAAGCGGCTAACATTCTCCTTTCCCTTCCTCCCCACAACAAACACTCTGTGAGGTGAGTGAGGCTGAGAGACTTCAGAGAAATGTGACTGGCCCAAGGTCACCCAGCAGCTGCATGTGGAGGAGCGGGGAAGCGAACCCGGTTCACCAGATTACGAGTCCACCGCTCTTAACCGCTATATCATGCTGTCTTGGTGTTGTAGTCCAAAAACATCTGGAAGACAGTAGGTTGAGGAAGTCTGGTCTAGAATGCTAAAAACTGTTCTCTCTCTTTAATAGGTAGGAACTGTCTGCCATGCGTGGGAAGCTCATATTGGAGGAATAGCTTTCACCTGGAAAGCTTCACTTCTGTAAAGATTTTTTCTACACAAACACTGGCAGCACATCTTTACAAAATATAGTATTTCAGGCACAGGGAGCTTGTGCTGGAAAGTTAAAAAGAATGTGGGAGTTTATGAAAGCTACAGCACAACCCCATGCCAGGTTACAAAGCAGCAAATCCCACAGTGAGTGGGTCTTCCACTCAAATCAATATAGAATTACAGCCTCTCTTCTCCAGGGGGGAAAACCCCCATATATTCCTAAGCAAGAATGCACCACCGAGATAACATTTAAAAAACAGCTTAGTTACATCCCAACCTTTGAGAGATCTGCATATACATTACTGGCTTGTTCTTTTAATACATAACAGAGGAATACAGAGCATCAAAAAAGGAAAAAGATAAACACGTGGCAAAACCAACGTCAGTCCTCCCTGCAAGTATTTTATACCTTGGGTTGTGGTTTAATAAGCATTTCCTTTTTATGCTGGCTTGGTTTTGCATGCAGCAACAAGTTCTGCTGGCTGTTTCAACTCAGACATTTCTTGTTTGTACACTATGTTAGCTTTCTGCAGTTAAGGGGGGTTAATTGCAACACTGAAGGCAGTAGAGAGAAACTAAATAGCCCTACTCTGATTCGTATTTGTAAATTGTACCTGGTGGTGGTGGTTGTTTTTAACTTTAATAATTTATAGCATGGTGAAACACAACTGTTTGTGAAATGTTGTTCTAAGCTGAAATTTTCTTGGACTAAGCCAGTCACCAGCAGGGCATGACTTGGTCTCTGTTTTCACTGCTACATCTTCTCAAATGAGATATTGTACCTTCTCCAATTCTGTTGTTGGCTTCTGAAGAAAGGATTCTTTTCTCATACCCTCTAAAGTGACATACAGAAACTTCAATGCTAGTGTGGAGTTTGCTTGTTGCTTGCCTTGCAATAACTACAAAGTGGAGAGACTTCTTCCTGCAATGAATCTAGATCTCTGCATATAGAAAACAGCTTCAGGGAGAAGTGTGTAGGTATTAAAAAACAAACAAACATGCTTCTGAATTATGAAATGTGTATTGTAAAAGATGGCCTTTTAGTGAAGGCCTCACACAACCAAAGGAATTTAGAGCTACTTTGCATGTGACAAATTCTCTACTTGGATATCAGTTCTGTCTAGGAACTGGATGTACCAACTGTGTATATAGCATGTGTAATTAAGACACAGAACACTACTTCAATACATGTAGCAGGAAGCCCCAACTGGAAGCAGGTTCCCATGGCAAAATAAAGCCATGTCACAAATAAAGACACACCCTTCAGTTGCATGCAGTTTCCTATACAGAAAAGATAAAGTAGGAAATTAATTATGAATCAAGTAACTCTTAAGAGCTGACAAAAAGAATGTTTTACGTATGCCCTCTACCATTAACGACTGACATTACTAAGGTTCCTTTTTGGTGGGTGGTGTCTGTAATAAATCAAATAATGTGGTGGTCTTGTCACCATTCCACCATAAACTGAGAACAAAATGCTTCAACTCACCCCCCCCCCCAATACAGTCAAAATTCTACTAAATTCCACATTATAGGATGTCATCCTATAGAGCCCCAGGATCAAAAGTCAAAAAGGAAGACTGAAGGGTCTTTGGGGAGTGGTTGTAGGTCTCAAAGGCAGAAAAGCACCGGGGGAAGAGTTTGTTTTTCTTAATCCTCATTCATCTGTACTTTGACTTCTCCTTCTCTCTGGGTTTCTTAGGGCTTCTGGCTTTCCTCTTTTCCTCGTGGTATTTGTCCTTTGACTTTCGGTATCGGTCATCTCTGTCCCAAGACTGGCTACGGCTACGGCTGCGCCGCCTCTCTCGCTTTTCGCTTTTTCTTTTCTCTTCTTTCTGCCTTCGGTCAAGGTCCTGCTTTAAGAAATGTACAGAGAGTTGTAAGGATTAGAAAGGGGTAGGAATGACGCAAATTAATTTGAAAAGAATACACAAGCTTGAAATGACATAATTCAGAATCACATGTAAATGCATTCAGAGCCTACAGCATTCTTTTTGGGGCTGTGGCAAAAGATCAGTTGCATGAGTAGCCTTCCTCTCAAACCATCTTTGGATACAACCTAGTATCAGCAATGGGTGGCTGAATTAAAGTGGTGGCTTCATTCACCTGGTTTTTGAACCGTGTAAAGTCAGGTTTCTGCAGCAAGGACCACTTGATTTAGCAAAAGAATACAGAAACAAAATTTATCATGGGCAATTTTAAAAACTTTAAAACTCTCCCTTCCTTATACAAGAATGTAGTTTCCTAATAATCATTTCACCATATCTGTTATCTCTGCCCCACCCCCAAGTATTGTCATTCGTAAAATAGATTCAACCAACATAACTTGTATAAATAATGGATGAGGAAAGTATGCATGTTTCACAGGCTTTGTATGCTTACATAAAAGCCCTTCCCTTCCCTTTGCTTCAGTCCAACAAAAGTGAAAAATCTAAGCCTGATTCCAAAAATCAAGCATGTTTTACAGGATCAAGAAATGTAATATATATCTGTTACATTTTGTGACATGTGTGCTCTGAACTTTTGATGCTGTTGTGCAACACTGTATTATTCAATGCCTTTCCTTTTAAAAACAAATGAAGTCTACTACTATTTTATTTTATTTGCTTGGTTTTGAAAAAGGACATGAAGAAAGAGATGGTATCAATAAATCATACAGGAAACATCCAGTATAAGAAAGCAAGGGTGGAATTGTTTGAGGCAGGAGACCTTCAGACAGCTGAGAATGGTGCAGCTGTAGGAGCCAATGTCACGGAAAGAATATATTGGGATATGAGAGCAGAAAGTAAAGTGCTGGAATGGGAAAAGCGGATAAAGCTTAAACTCATGAACCAGAAAGCAAAAGGAGAAGAGAAACAGCAGCAAAGAGAAATGTGGCAGCAAAGAACATGCCAGCCCGGAAGAAAAGCTGCTGTATTAACTTGCTCCTTAAAAGAGAAGTGCAATCAGACCCAGAGCACCTATTTCTGCAAGTATGCTACCTGCACCAGCATCAGCTTCCTTTCAGCTGGACTAGAGTTTGCAGCAGCTGCACCGACACTAACTGTGAAAACTACCATCTGAATCCATTTCTGATGCCACAGGACCAGAGGAGGTAGATCCTGAGTGGTGAACCTGTGGCCCTGCAGAAACTGGTTGGCAACAACTATTATCCCTGACCATTGGCTATGCTGACTAGGACTGATGGGAGCCGGGAGTCAAGCAACATTTGGAGGGCCACAAATCCCCTATTCTTGAGCTACAAGACAAATTGTATCTATGCTGGAAAAAAATGTAAACGATGCTCCTAAGAGACAGGGGAAAGCTGATCCTGAGCTGAGAAAATATATGTTTCGGCTGTATGGCAGGCTTCACCAACCTGGTGCAGTCTAGATTTTTTTGGGACACCCAATGCCCATCAGTCCTAACTAGCATAGTCAATAGTTGGGGATAATGAGATTTGTAGGCCAGAATAATCTAGAGGGTCATAGGTTTACCACCCATGATCTGGCTCTTCTGGCTAATAACCTGATATAGATGGATACTGCCACTCTGGAGATGGGGAATGCATTGTGGAGACATGGGCTTCGGTCCTAACACTGTGAACAATTCACATTCTTTGACATGCAAATGCCCACTTGCTTACGTTCTCTAAAAAGAGAAGAAATGAGGACTGGAATCCTACAGGAATCTTCTAAAAGGGTAGCTTATGAAGAAAATCTCAACAATCTAATTGTGCAACCAATGTGCTAAATTATGCAGCAGCTGTGGAGCACTGTGAACAGTATGTGGCAGCAACAGCAGCACTCTGACCCATATATGCTCCAGTTTGGCATGCAAGGAAGGCTGGCATCTAAGTGGCTGAAGCTTTCAAATAGAAATGATTACACAGAGTTCTTGAAAGGAAGAAGGTAGAGACCAAGAGCATCTCTGTAGGACAGCCAAAGTAGTGGGAGAAACCAATAAGAGTTCTGTAGAAGTGGCACGGCTACATGTGAGGCCAACAAGGAGGAAGTATAAATGGTCAGTGAGATGTGGGGGAAAGGTTAACATATATATGAAAGTAGCAAAATCAGGAGCTGACTTTCAGCTGAGATTATGCAGACAAGAACTGGAACATTTCACAATACAGCGGTAGCTCAGGTTAAGTACTTAATTCGTTCCGGAGGTCCGTTCTTAACCTGAAACTGTTCTTAACCTGAAGCACCACTTTAGATAATGGGGCCTCCCGCTGCCGCCAGAGCACAATTTCTGTTCTCATCCTGAAGCAAAGTTCTTAACCCGAGGTACTATTTCTGGGTTAGCAGAGTCTGTAACCTGAAGCGTATGTAACCCGAGGTACCACTGTATATCTACTGGGTGTTGACTGAAGTGTGATGAAAACATTCCATGCATCTGACCCAATGTTTCCCTGATGCAGCAACACATCATTAAACTGAAAGGACAAGAGCCCAGCACCTTAGACTTTTTGGACCTCTTCTCATCCTCATCGGTATCATCTGAATGGTGGCGTTTCTTCTTCTTTTTATCAGAGTGCCTGTGACTTGTTTTGCAGTCATCCTCTTCCTCCTCCAATACAAGGTCATATTTTGAGCTAGAGCAGTCTGTTAAGGAAAGCTTGGGAGACCGATATTAGGGTTAGCCAACAAGTTGGCCAACAGAGTAACACCTTGCAGCACCATCAGACAAAAATGTGAGTGAACTGGATCCAGGAGAATAAAATGACAAAGTAAAATGGTCCACTTAAGTGCACCTCTGAATTCATTTCTGGAAGGTGAAAGCCAGTGAATGCACGTTATCATTTTAACTGCATAACAAAAACAAATGCCGCCCCCCCCCCCCATTTTACTGCTATTCTAAGGCACAATTCAAATGGCACAAGTAGGGCACAATAGCTGTCAAAAGATATTTCTGCATAGAGATGATGGTTAGACTCCATGTCACAGCATCTGTAATGGGTTTACTATGTGGTTCAGCCAGATTGTACAGTAAGACGAACCAGGCAAGCATCATCAAGTCCGAGGGAGGCAGCACTGGCAGGGCAAGTAGAACACAGCTTCCACTATATGAAAACATGCATTTTTAAAGTTAACTACTCTGATTCAAACTACAGCCTGAGGATGGAGCTGCTCTGTTTTGAAGCCCACAAAGCTGGAATATGGCCCAATACAGACATTTAGCTGGGGCTATTTTGTTTTGGTCAAGGAGTTGGAAACGCCAATTGAAAAGTGATTTCCACATTTCTAAATTCAACTAAGGGACGTGGGTGGCGCTGTGGGTTAAACCACAAAGCCTAGGACTTGCCGATCAGAAGGTCGGTGGTTCGAATCCCCGCAACGGGGTGAGCTCCCGTTGTTCGGTCCCTGCTCCTGCCAACCTAGCAGTTCGAAAGCACGTCAAAGTACAAGTAGATAAATAGGTACCGCTCTGGCAGGAAGGTAAACAGCGTTTCCGTGCACTGCTCTGGTTCGCCAGAAGCAGCTTAGTCATGCTGGCCACATGACCCGGAAGCTGTATGCCGGCTCACTCGGCCAATAAAGCGAGATGAGCGCCGCAACGCCAGAGTCGGTCACGACTGGATCTAATGGTCAGGGGTCCCTTTACTTTTACCTTTAAATTCAACTAAGATTTTAACTAAATAAGTGAATTAAAATTTTACATGCACAGAGTTACATCGCAAAGGAGTTTACATACAAAAACTACTAGCCCGAGAAACAGTTATTAGAAGTTAAGGTAATAAAAATCTATCTACCAAATTCAAGGTAAAATGTTTTTTGCAATCCTACTGCAAGATTCCAATAAACTAGAAACATATACAATACGTATCCAGGTTGTAGGTTTTTTACTCATAAATAGTAAAATAGGAGTTTTTAAAAATAACATATAATTATTTAGTTGCAAAGGATACTCTTGCTTTGGCTTCACCTTCTCCTTCAGACTTAATTTAGGAGTTTTGTCACGGTCCTTTTCATATTCTTTGAAATCATCCTTAGTATACTTCCCACCTGTTTATAGGAAGAGAGAGAAGCTGCCATTGATCTTGAATGCAAGTAAGAAACTCATTAGAGAGATAATCCAGGATCAGTTTTGTAACCAGGACAAAAATCACGAGTCACCTCCACACCCCACATTTGGAATTGTCAAAATAATAAATAATATAAAACTTTTTAAAATGTGGGAGAGAGGGAAAATTCACTGCTTAAATGAGTATCTTTAGCTATGTGCTGCCATCTTATGGTTCAAGGTCACAAAATGCAAATGGCTAAATATTTTGTAGAGTTGAGGTTCCAAGCTAGCAAGAAGGGACTATTCAGCAAAGAGAGAATTGAGAGATAGGACACCTAAAATAGTCATTAATGTCTCCCTTTCTTGGTCTACAGATTCTCATGCACAGCAGAGCATATGTGCAGCTGCACACCAAAACCCCTCCACATTCTCATCTGCCTAACAGAAGCTCTGAATGTTTGGGTATGTCTGTGATTCTCAGTACGAAGAATAAATAGATTTTTAGAAAGGTAGTCAATTCAAAAAGTTTGAGAAACATTCACTTTCAATGTTCATTGCCTCCCAGTTCCCCCAGCTTCTACTGGCTGCTACCATTAGGGATCCCACAAGTGGCTCTCCTGATTGTCTGCATATTTGGTGGCTAGCTGACTGGGCTAACAGAACTAGGGAGGGACACCTGTTCGTTCTAACCCCTTCCCACCAGCCTGGTGTAAGGGAGAGGGTTGGATTGCTTTGCCCTTATTCTCCACCAGCAAAAAATACTATACACTACCCAATTTGAGAAGCAGGGTATTTATAGGATGCTAACTGGGAAGAGATCACATTTTATGGTTGTTTGGCAATTTCATAACTAGCAAACCTGAACGTGACTGCATCAAAAGCTAATGTTTGTCTGCTCTCCTAAAGGAAAACTGATGGTTATAATAACAAAGAGTTATAGATATAATGCGTAAAATAAATTACCTTTTCCTTTCCATTTAATCTTTGCAACAGACTGGCTAAAATCCACGTGTATCCGCCTGTCATCTATTAAAACATTATCCATCTTAAAGTAAGCTTTCTCACAATCTTCTTCCTAGTACACGTTTTGGAGAAATGTAAAGTTAAAATTAGAAGATGACATTTTAAAAAAACCCAGCAACGGCAGTATATGAATGGAAAAAGGAAATTCCAGTAGCTTAAAAGTCCTACTGCTTCGGATGAGGAACACCAACTGTTGTGTTGGCACTGTGATATTGTGTCATCCATTATTGTAGAGATTTGTTTCAACTTAAAATGTTTGGTATCAAGTTTGCGTAATGAAACCCCAAATGTTTCTACACGGTGGTTATCCAAAAATGCATTAATCTATCTATCTATCTGTATGGTCAAGGAATCCAAAACCATTTCTGCCACAGCCCTGTGCAACCTACACACCACAACTGTTCTATGTATTCATTTATGAGAATTTAAGAGAAGCAAATCAAGAACCTAGTTCTTCCCATGCATTAAAAACTGTCAAGCCATTTTCAATTTCTTAAATGCATAAACTAAACCAGAAATTGAAAGGAGCACAAGCAACATTCTCCCAGGATAACCAACTGTGGAAACAGGCACCCAAACAGGATCTGACTTTCTGAAAGTTTAGGGAATATAACATTTACAACCATTAATTCTCTCACAATCCCAGTGAAACTGGTCACTGTAAGCTATATTTTATGAATGGGGATCTAAAGCTGAGAGGCAGTGACTTCCCAGAAGTCACAGAAATGAACCTACAGCAGAGCTCATTTGGATCTTCCCAGATGATCATTGTGCACTATCCAGGACACCAGAATTGTTCCAACAGAAAATACTTTCCTAAAACTCGCAACAGAAGATTTGTCATTAAAGATTTTGGGTGTGGATGAGTTGTACTGGTGCTTTGAATGTCATAAGCTGCTCCACCTTTGTAATTTTAATAGCAGCATTATAAAACCATTTCATAAGAAACAAGTAGAACACACCTTTAGGTTTTACCCTCCTATAAAGATGCTACGTAAAATGAACTGTGAGTACAGTTTTTGTGAGGCCACATACCTTTTCAAACTCGATGAAAGCATAGCAGAGGGATTCGCCTGTCTTCCAATCTCGAATCACTTCACAACTGAAAAATGAGTAAAGCATTTTGTTCTGGAAATCGCAGGACAATGACAACAGTGGTATGATATCAATGGGCTGAAACCTTCCTCAACAAGTCCCCAAGAAAAACAGCTCTGTATCTGCTAACATGGATCACATTTTCTATACAGTGGTAACTCGGGTTAAGTAATTAATTCATTCCGGAGGTCCATTCTTAACCTGAAACTGTTCTTAAACTGAAGCACCACTTTAGCTAATGGGGCCTCCTGCTGCCGCACAATTTCTGTTCTCATCCTGAAGCAAAGTTCTTAACCCGAGGTACAATTTCTGGGTTAGCGGAGTCTGTAACCTGAAGCGTATGTAACCCGAGGTACCACTGTACTAGCCATCGCTGTTAGGTCTAAAACCAGAAACAGGGGGCTGCCTCTTACATCACAAATTCTGGGTATAGAGTGGCTTCATAAGCAATTGTTGCATCAGAAGACGCAAAATGCATAAGGATATGTGTTAAAAATGCAGGTCTTGCGAAACCCAACATTATGATTTGGATCCAGACATCTTCGTCTGTGAATGGAAATGCACCTTCCATTTGCAGGTAGAACTCTGCTCCAGAAGAACCTCCTGTTTTTCTCTCTGGGTGCTCCAACTAGTGGAAGCAGTGAGGAGAGGAGATCTTTCCCAATCTTCCCTTCCCGCTACAGTCCTCTCCCATGAGGTTCCCTCATGCAGGAGGCATATGGGGAAGGGAGAATGAGCAAGAATTCCTTGCTCACTCCTTTTGCTCGTGGGATAATCTAGTTGGCAGAGTTCCACTGTCCTAACGAGGCACTGCATAGGTAAAGCCCCTTCTCTGTGTGCATACCTCCCTCCCCACTCTGTCCCATAGCCCCTGGGGCACTCTTCTAGGATCTACCTCTTTCAGCAGCAGCACGCTTGAAAGAGGTAGAATTCAAAAGTGAATTGACAAGAAAAGGCAGGGAGAGAAGACGAAGAAAAAGTGCATCTAGGGGAAAAAGGACTCTCGGAAGGAGAGGGAAAGACGCCGCACAACTTCTTGTGACACCATGTTTCTCCTAACTTTGTTTCTACACATGCTGAAGGGGAGGGCAGCCAACAAGCACCTTCTTCCAGCCATAGTAAAATTCCCGACTCCCACCCACCAGCACCCGCCTCCGCTGTTCAAGTCTTAAAAATTTCTAAAATAGCCAAAGGTTGAAATAAAAGATTTATGACTGAAACAAACCCAAGCAGAGCAATCAGTCCCGGAAAGGAAGAGTTTTAAAATTACTTGCAAATTCCTTGCTTCTTGTGCTGATTTTCAATAATTACCTTTTTATTGGTCCGAATCGGGAAAATATGATTTCAAGGTCTTCATCTGTTGTCACAGGATTAAGTTTGCAAACAAACAAGACATTTTCAGGAGGCTTGATATCAGCATCAGGCAAGTCTCCAACCTGGAATACAAGTGTGATATGAGAGGAGATTTTAGTCCCACTTTATACAGAATCTCAGGCAAGACACATTTAGACATGTTTTGACATGTAATTATTTAACATATACAACCTTTTAGGCATGCATCAAATCCTTCTGATTTATCTTTATGTCCCATTGCAAGATCAATTATTATTAGATTTTTTTAAAAAATTGAACCTACATCTAGATTCAACAGACAGTCCTAGTAGTCATCATATCTGATGCTGTGATAGCTTTATTTATATTCACAAAAAGCACATGCATATCTGCAAGGCTGACTTTGAGTTAAATAATCGAACATGTTTACCATTTCCAAAAGAATAGCCTTAGTTTTTGCTTCTTTCTCTGCCAGAATTTCTTCCACTTCATCAACAGACCTTCCTTTGAAGTCATCAATCTCTTCATCAGCTCCTATTCTTCCACTCTGTCTTATATTTAAAACAAATAAAAGAAAGACAGCTATTTAATAATATTTAGCCAGTGAGTATATATTGTTAATTTTTTTCAATTCATTTGTGACTCAATGCATAGCTGAATTGAAACTAACTTTACTGCCTGAACACAAATTGTAAACATACACAGGAAGACATACAGAAGCACTTTACAATCATTATATAGATGTGAGTTCAAGCTTAAGAGATTGATTACAGTCCTGTCCACAGTACAGTCATACCTTGGCTCTCGAACGCCTTGGCTCCTGAACAAATCGGCTCCCGAATGATCAAAACCCGGAAGTGAGCGTTCCGGTTTTTGAACGATTTTCGGAAGCCGAACATCCGGCACGGCTTCCGATTGGCTTCAGGACACTACTGCAGCCAGTTGGAAGCCGCGCTTTGGTTTCCGAACGTTTTGTAAGTCGGATGGACCTCCAGAACAGATTCCGTTCGACTTCCAAGTTACGACTGTACTATGTACAGTGTTTTTTGAAATTATACACTCAACAAAATGTAAGAAGTTAGCACAGGTTGACATATATCACGTACATATATCACAATAATCTCTATTGTGAACCACCAGACATGAACATGCTTGATGACAACTTGATGACAATTATAGCAGTTAATTTGTATTTTTCTCCTTCTAGTATGAGTTACAGGATGACCCTTATTTTTCTCAATTCCACAATGAACGCACCAATTGTTCTCCCCATTTTCTTCACCTTTCAAAACCTGGACAGGGGAAGGGTGTAGATGCAGTTCCATTTCTGAAGTTCAAGGCAGCAGTGTATCTATAAACCTAAAGTTGCCTGCCATGTTAATGTCTGAAGCACAGGCATATAAACCTGCGCCTTAGGAGGCATAGCTACATAATGTGGCATGGATAGCACATGTGCCTGTTTGCCTGTGAAGACACTTAGCCGCCTTCTTATATTTGGTCAGACATATGCCTTCTTTGGAAAATACACAGGTATATATTTTACATTTCACATATTGCACCTCCATGTTTCTGCAGTCATTAGGGTGTATGCAGCCATGCATTCCAAATAAAAATGGAAGATATACCCAGAAATAACAATTTTGATAATCTGTCTGTCTGAATGTTTCAGCCCTTGAAAATATAAATTCTTTCACATCACAAAGTGTTAGCTCCAGTCTAACATAGTTTAATCAGAGATTGATGAATGCCTTTCAGGATAGGCTTTTTTTTATCACATTGCTTATTGAATTGGGAGGAAAGCAGCAGGTGGAGGGAGACTATCTCTCTGGGAACCATTCCTCATGCAAGTCACTCTGCTGAAACCGAAAAGCACACATTACTATTGTCCTTGAAGAGGACTCACTGTCAAGACACAGCTTGATTTTTGTTTCAGTAGTAAACTTTCCATCTCCACCAGTTCAGGTTCACTTTTTTCTTTTTGTTTTACTCTTTTCATTTTGCATCTGTTGAATGGGCACCATGATTAAGGACTGAGGATTTGTGTGATGGTGGTAAATATTCCTTGTTTATCTATTTTCTGATCTCCCTCTCCAGTATCAAGAGAAATTAAATAGCAACACTCACATCCAACTGTTCCTTGGTAGGCTCTGGTGAACGATCTGGTATTGCCAAACCAGGAGGGTCATCAAATGGATCATCCAAGATCACTGTATGGTTTATCCTAGACAACAATTGCAGTAAAAGCAAAGGATAACTTCATGCATATGTGTGCATTGTGGCAACAAATGCATCAGTAAAATACACTCACACTCTAACCTCTCAGATGGATAATCAGAATCTGTAAGAAAGTATTTATGTCAAGTATGGCGCACAGCCAGACAGGCAATGAACAGAGCATCACTGTATAGTGCAGGGCTCTTGCAGTTTCCCAAAAGCATGTGAGCTGGCTTTTGTTGGAGGAAGGTTCAGATCCTACTGCAGCATAAGACTGCAGAGATATTCTCTTGGCTAAAAGAGAAGGCAAATCATATTTGGCCAGTTCATAAGACTGTCGCACTAAAAGCACGTCCAAAATAGCCAAGAGCTGATGGTCATACAACTGACTGGCAACGATTTCAGAACAGACCCCCCAAAAGTTAAGAAAAATACCATCACGTAAAGCACAACTGAGGTCACCTGGCAATGAAAAGCTGCATATAAACACATTAAATAAATAATAAAAACATTATTTTGTGGAATTCACTGCTTCTGAATATGGTCATTGTAACTAGTTCAATTGACTTTGAAAGAAGAGTTCATTGAGGATAGGTCTAGCAAAAACGTTTGGCATGATAGGCCAAATGGACCCTCCAGTGTCAGAGGTGGTATACCACTGATCAGAAGGTATTGGGATGTGGCAGTTGGGAACAGGTACTGATTGCTATGTCCTGCATGTGGCCCTCTCAAAAGAACCTGGCTGACCCCGAGGGGGATGCTGCACTAGAAAGACCTTTGGCTCTGATCAAGCAGGGATTTTCTGATATATGTAGTCTATAAAAGCAAAAGAGAGTCAAACCTGATGTCTTGATATGGAACAAAATCCTTGTCAACGAAGGCTTCATTAATTTTCATCAACACATCCATGCCTTCTGTTACTTCACCGAAGACTGTATGTACACCATTCAGGTAATCTAAGTTGTCTCCTGTAGTAATAAGAAACTAAAAAAACAAACAAAACTATTTTGAGTTAACTGCATGGTGGAAATTTCCAAGTATTTTAAGATGTTTCCTTTGAGACTGTTTGCTATCAACAACAGCTTCCAATACCATCAATCATGGTATATTCTGAACGGGATTAGGAACTACAGGAAATATATTGTTTTTTTCTGGAGGGCAGGTTCCAGAAGAGAGGCTATTGTAATATGTTATGTGTTACATGTGGGGCTGCCTTTTAAGATGGTTTGGAAACTTCAGCTAGGACAAAATATAGAAGCCTGCCTGTTAATAAGTGCAGACTGATATTCACATACATGTTTTGAAACATCTGCACTGGTTGCCGTCCAGTACCATTTGGAAATATTGGTTCTCAGTTTTAGGTCCTGACTCTCTCAGGGATCATCAGCTTTGAGATTTCCCTCTCCTCCCAAAGATTACACATTTACATTTTTATGCCTTTCCAAACCTAAGAGTGCTAAAGTCATGTAAAAATCTAAAACATTTTAAAATTTACATACTTGCCACAATATTAAGAACTATCTCATCTTGCTTGACACTGTGAACAAGTAAAAGGAAGACAATACTGTATAGGAATTTTGTGCATGTGCTTTATTGTGGTTTTTAGAGTCAATGCTCTTCTATTTATCCACAATGTCAATCTATTTAAGTATTAGTTTGGGTTTTTAACGTTGTGGCAAGTCTTGTTAGTAGCTGTTCTTTAAGAACATATCTGTATCATGTGCATGGATTATGCCCAGTCAAATTGTTATTTTAATTCTTTGTGGCATCACTCCTTTCACTTATCCCACGTTTCTTTTAAGACTCTTCCAGTGCTGTGGACTGACCTGAGATCCATGCTGATCACTGCCATTGTTCACCATTGACACTGTACCCCTTTTCTTGTGTTTAATTCTTGGCACTTTTTCTGTTTCAAAAAATCTAGCTTGGTCCCCATACAATTTGCTGAAACACACAAAGGTAATATTCAGACAAAAAAACTAAACAAATGTTATAGTCTACTTACATCTTTCCTCCACAAGAATAGAAAATGATCAGTTATTGGCGGTGCTTGTAATACTGGTAATTAGTGTTTTAAACTTCATTATAAGTGCCTCAGTCCAACAATCAGTTTAAAATGCTCCAGTATGCATGCAAAGCTCTTCTATTAAGATCATCACTATTTGTTTCAATAGGAGACCAAGATGCAAACATATTCCTTTCAAATGAATAGGGTACATCAAATAATGTAGGAGCTCTCTGTGTGCCTAAGAAACTCTTAATAGGGTAACTACACCCACGTTCATAAGCTTTTAGAATTGCTTTTAGAAAAACAATACATTTGCCTTGATCCGTCAAGCATGCATCTAGTTCCATGTGTTCAAAGGAGTGGTGTGAATCTTGTTGGATTGGCTACGGAGATGAGAAAAATATTCATTTCCATTTTTAAAAGAGTAATGTTCCATACAAGGGAATCTCCCCTCTTTAGACAGCTGAACACAAAATTTGTCAGCATTACTGGAGGGGGAAAGAACACCTAAGATAGTCCAGATAAGGTCTATTGGTCTTTCTGCTGGGTTTAATTACCCAATGAATTGTCCATTCCAATGCATGTTTACTTGGGCAAAGGTCCCACAGTGTCCAAAGAGACTCACTTCCTGGTAAGCATACACAGATTCAAGATCTAAATGAAACTCACCAAAAAATTGATTCACCTCCACGGCCAGTCCCCTGTGGGTCTCCAGTTTGTATGATAAAATCTCTCTGAATGAATGCAAAGCACATAATGTTACCTATCACCATAGTTTATTATTATTATTATTTATTAAATTTATATACCACCCCTTATCCAAAGATCAAAGGGCAGTTTATGAGTTTTAGAAAAATAGGTTTATTAAAATTTACTGCTTGCACTGATGTTTGTATGATGCAGACTGTAAAGCTATTATTTCCAATATACAGTACAGGGGACGTGAGCTAAGATTGTCTAGATCTAGGTTCAACTCTCTTTATCAACTGTATAGCATAAAATCTTTAAAGTGTTTAGTGATTTAAATGTTCAGTTAAAAAAATAAAAATAAAAACCATGACAAATACTAATCAATCATAACAAATACTTACTTGTATATTATGTATAAGGCAGTAATTGTAGTACTTGATTTTGCAGAGCTTCAGAAAATTCAGGCAAGCTGCAAGAAATTTAAAGCAAATGAACCAGTCTGCATGTTTTGCTTAATAAAAGAAACTTTCACTGTTCCTCCATTATATGTAAGAACAACAAAATCCACAACACATCAAGGCCTGCAGTAAGAGGCTAGTGGAAACAAACCCTGTGCCAAGGTTGTCACTCTAGTCAACCCTTAACTGAAATTTCAGAATAAAGAAGTCATCCTGAGTAAAATAACAGTGAAAAGATGATGTTCAGATGTTAAATGGGGTTGCACTCCCTTTAAAGGAGCAGATGTGCAGTTTAGGAATGCTTCTGGAACCACGGCTGTCATTGGAGGCACAAGTAGCCTAGATGGTGCAGCGTCTTCCACCAGCTTTGCCTAGATCAGGGGTCGGTTTACCTCACTTGGGCTGGTTCCCGTGGGCCAGATCACATGCGCGGCCACAATTTCCGGCGTCTGCACAGACATGATTTCCGGTGTCTACATAGATGCGATTTTCGGCACCTGAGCATGCACAGACATGATTTCTGGCACCGCAGAAGCGAGTCCCCGCGCTGCGCTGGTTTAGTGCAGCGCACGGGGACTTGCCGAGTGGGCGGCTCAGTGGCGGCTTGTGGGCCAGTTAAACGACCACAAGTGGCCCATGGGCCTTAGGTTGTCTACCCCTGGCCTAGATGCTACTCTATCTGGACAGAAATAACCTAGCTTCAATTACTTATATGCTGGTAACCTCTATGGTAAACTACTACAATGCTTTATACATGGGGCTGCCTCTGAAAACAGTTCAGAAGTTACACTGTTGCACAATTTAGTGGCCAGATTACTGAGACTAGAGGTAAAGGGACCCCTGACCATTAGGTCCAGTTGCGGGCGACTCTGGGTTTGTGGCGCGCATCTCGCTTTACTGGCCGAGGGAGCCAGAGTACAGCTTCCGGGTCATGTGGCCAGCATGACTAAGCCACTTCTGGCGAACCAGAGCAGCGCACGGAAACGCCGTTTACTTTCCCGCTGGAGCAGTACCTGTTTATTCACTTGCACTATGTGCTTTCGAACTGCTAGGTTGGCAGGAGCAGGGACCGAGCAACATGAGCTCACCCCGTTGCGGGGATTTGAACCTTCTGATCAGCAAGCCCTAGGCTCTGTGGTTTAACCCACAGCGCCACCCGCATCCCTTACAGAACGTCTGAGTACAGTACACCAATTATGTCTAGATTGCAATAGCTACTGATTAGTTTCTGTAATCAATTCAAAGTGCTTGTTTTGACCTATCAAGCCCTATAGTTCAGGACCTCAAGGACCCTCTCTTCCCACATGAACAAATCCAGACCTTGCAGTATTTATCCTACTCACATAGATAAACAATTAGAAAAACTTCAGTTCCTTAATCTTTGGGTGTCAAGCTACTGCCAAAGGCATGAGGCAAAACCAATAAACAAAGCAAAAGAAAGATTGCATTTTAAAAGTAATCCTGGTAGGACTCCTGAAGAATCAACCAAAGTTGTCTCCTGGAAGAAACTTTACTTGTAGAAATATATATCGCAAGAGAGACTGTGCTAGAGGATCTACGCTTTGCTCTCTTAATCTACAACATTGCAAAGGATGTTGTTTTGCTTCCAGACAGCACAGTCTAGCCCAGCCTTTCCCGACTTGGTGCCCTCTAAATTTGGGGGCCACAACTTCCTTCAGCCCCAGCCAACATGGACTCCGGGAGCTCTAGTACAAAACACCTGGATGACACCCTTCCACCCCCAAAGGTGGGAGAAGGCAGGTCGAGCCACTTGGAGGCACACCACCTAGGACCGGTCCTGCGGGGCGGTGTGCAGAAACCCAACCGGTGCAGCGCAGAAATGCAACGAGGGAAGAAAAACTCCATGGCGGCTCCTGAAGGCCGCGCCGGAGAGGGACACTCGGGAAAGGCATCCTCAGCCTGTTCGGCCTTCTGCTGGCGGACGCCGGAGCTTCCTCTCACCTCTCGGCCTCTCCTCCGTGTACAAGTCGATCACCAGGTCTCCCAGCGTGGTTTCCAGGAGCACCGCCATGGCGCCTCGCTCCGCTTCCCGACGGCCTCTCTCGCCCCGGAAGGAGCCGCCTCAGCGCCGCTCCGCCTTTTCCTCCCCTGCTTGGCAACAGACTCACGCGCTCAGAAGCCGCCTCCGCCGTTGACTTTAGGCACCATTTTGTGGCGGTGGTAAAAAACCGCCCGAAGAAAACACTGGGTTTTCCATAGGTGTGACTGGCCGGAGCGGGACCGGGACCAGCCTGTTCCCCATAAAACAGGTCGCAGCAGAGGCAGAAGCGTCTGCTCTTTCCGGCGAGGCAGGTCGTGCTTCGCGTGGTGAAGGCGCAGCGCACCTGCCTGGAAGTGACAGCAGCGCGAAACTTCTGCCTGCAGTTCTGACCGGGGATCCGCTCGAGCATGGGATGCTTGAACTACCTGCGCGGACCTTGGCTGCGAGTGCAACCCGAGAACTGCTTCTAACCTGCGATAGAGTGGTGATTTTCATTGAGCTCCTGGAAGTCGCTTTCCACCACAGACTACAGACCCCATAGTATAATTGCATTGGCATTGGTGGGGCAAAGTTTCAAATGCTTTAAACTCACAAAAACACATTTTAAAAAACCACTATGACATAAATCCTTCCTTTCGCCCACTCACAACTGTTCGGAATTTCTCCAATGCAATCCATTGGCAGCTCTAACTTTTTCTCCTGGAATTAAACAGCTTCAGAAGGAGCCTGGATGTTATGTCTCACTGCTCTATCACTCTAACTAAACTCCCTATCTCTATGGTTACAGCAGCTGGAAGCAGTGCCTGCAGCGCCGCGGCCAAACAAACCTCTCTGAACGCGCATAAATTGGGGAGGGGGCGCTGCCTGTACCTAACAGTAAATTGTGCTTTGTGGAGGGCATACACATATTTCACAAGAATACCACTGAACCTGCAATTTGCTGTTTCCCTTTCAATTGCTCCTTCCCTCTGAGCCACCAGGCATAGAAAAATTCAGGAGTTAAACCATAGGCGTAGCCAGGATTTTTGTTACGGGGGGCTGGACTTTTCGGGGTGGGGGAAGAACCGACGTAATTGTTCAGTTTGTTAAGTATTTCTATTGTTTTACTGTGCTTGATGTAGGGGGGTGCAGCTGCCCCCTGCCCCCCCACTGGCTATGCTCATGAGTTAAACTGAGCAATGAAGGAGTAATGGCTAAGTAATTATTCATATGTCCCCATCAACATTCAACATAGCAACTGTAAATCATTCACTAAACAAATGGAAAGAGATCCCAGTAGGAATTGATTTGACAGAACGAAGTGGTTTAGGAGGAGTTATTGCCATCAATCCCATCCACAAATGAATCAACCGCATTACATTCACAAATTCTCAAAATACGTTTTTATTCTTGACAAGTTTAGATTCCCAGGTATGAACACTTTTTTGTCGGGGTGGGGTGGGGATAAAGTAACTTCTTTCCAGGCACACCTGGATTTTAATTACTACAGTACTTTCGTCCCATTAATAGACTGGCTTTATGCAGCACATTGATTTCAATGGGATTAGGCAATTTGGATCATTCAGCAAGCTGATTCATGTCCTGATAGTTAGTCCATGTGAAATGGACTAACACGCATTTTGCTTTATAGTAAATATTTTTGAAAACAAAAAACCTGATTTTTAGTGTGCTTTTTTAGACCCTCATGAAATGGCAAAACAGCCAAGTGTTGCACTCTTTTTAGAGAGGCAACCATACCCACCTTTAGAATAACAACTAACTCATTAACCCATTGCATTGGTAACTGTGTTCATTGGGGTTCACTCTCAGGATTGCAGCGTCACAGCCTCTTAAGAACATAAGAGCCATCCACTGGATCAGGCCAAGGGCCCATCTAGTCCAGCCTCCTGTTCTGACAGTGGCCAACCAGATGCCTGCAGGAAATCCCCAAGAAGGACTAGAGCAAGAGCACTCTCCCCTCCTGCAGTGTCCAGCAGCTGGCATTCAGAAGCACGTTGCCTCTCACCTTAGACAGGGAGCAATAGCCATCAAGGCTAGTCGCCACTGCATTGTTTACTCTTCTAGGTTCCTCTGCAATTACAACAGAGATGGCCTTTCCCATGGTGACATTTCAACTTTGCAATTCTCTGCCCAGAGAAGCTTGCCTGGTGCCCACACTAATGTATTTCTGGTGCCAAGGAAACGTGTTTATTGAATTCCCAGGCTTTTAAACTTTATCTGTTTTATTTGTTTTGTTTTGTTTTCCAAATAAAAATGCTGCCTTTTGCTTTGTTTCAACTTTCTGTTTTGTTTTTAGCATTATTCATTTCTGCTGTTTTTAACCCCACCTAAATAATATTCGAAGGCGGGGGAAAACTCTGTATGGTAATACACAAAAAGATAATGCTCTGGTGGGCATTATCAGGGGATGGATGCTGAGGAGCCTTCCGTGCACACTGAATAAAGCGGGATTTATTGCTAACTAAACCTGCATGCCTATTCTCATCTCTGCTAATTTGAGGTAGGAGGACTAATTTATCTCTTTCCCCCGCGCAAATCTCCTCTGGGCTGTTTGGCTCCAACTCCTAAGCCTTTCCCAAGGGAAACCTTTTTGACACGGCCTTTCTCCTGCCCTCAGCAGCACCTCTCCTAATCCTGCATCTTTCCCGGTTGTGTTGTTGTTGCTGCTGCTACCGTCTCCTCCTCCTCTCCTCTCCTCTCCCCGCCCCTGCCGGACTCCTCCCCGCCTCTGCTTCGCCTGCCGCCTCCTCTGGCTTTGTTGATGTTTCACTTTGTTTTAATTCCCGGCTCCCAAGATGGAGGCGGCGCTGGGGCCACGCGAGTTCCTGCGGCTGCTCCCGGGGCTCCTTCTGCTGCTGCCCTCCTGCCTGGCCGCCCCGGAGCCGACAGCCGCTTTCTCCCAGCTCGATAGCCAGGTAAGGGAGAGGAAGGGTCTCCGGGCAGCCTCATCTTTATTCTGACGGCACCAGGACGGAAGAGTACGCGGAGGGAGTGGGGAAGAGGGGCGAGCAAAGTGGACCCCTTGGAGGAGTCCGATAAAACCAAGAAACAAGAAATGCAGTGGGTTGGCCCCTAATCTTCAGTGCTCATCTGCCCCTTAATTCGGAGTAAGGAAGCGACATGCTGCTGTAGATAGGCGCGGCGGCGTTGCATTGTTTGTCTTGTCTAAGGTGCCGTGGGAGTGTGCAAGACTGAGTGTGACGTGCAAGAGCTTCGTGTGGACATCCCGAAATGGTGCCCTAGTGCCCACCTGTGTGAAATGCTCAGGCTTGTACACTTTGAAGGTGTTTGGGGGGGGGGGTTCTTCCTCCCCCACCCCAGCCCCGTGAAGGAGCAATTTGTATATTGATATGTATGCAGAATTACATAAGATGTGGCATCAGGCCTTGTGTGGCTTGGATGTTGGTATGAAGTACTTCAGCTGCGTGCTTGCTATATATGCACACAGGCATATGCAAGGGACCGAATGGATATGCGGTGAGAATACAGGATGTCCATTGGGCTAGGTAACACCAAGGTTAGATTTTATTTGTCTGATTTGAACTTTGGGATTGAGTGCTTTCTTTAATGCATGTGGTCTGCGTTGAGAGAAGAGCATGATATTCTCAACTGTTTCTGCGCGGAAGCCTTTAATGATAAGCTATCCAACAAAAACAAATTGCTTTTGAGTGGAAAATAAAGAGGAATGTTTAAGTGATTTGTAGGTGTTACAAATCCTGTGATTTGTGGGTGTTACTAGTAGTTTCTTTAAGTTAATCACGTGTTAGCTTGAAGCACAGGAGTGGTTTTGGTACAGTGTCCTTTTCAAGCACTTAAGATGCTACTTCATTCAACTTCTGATAGCTAGCTAATTGCTAAGAGAGCTAACCCAAAATCTCCATCACAAACATTTGAACAAGCAATGATTAGATTTGGATTAACTTTATCTCTGGTTTTCAGTGTGATGGAGTAGTATATGGAAAGATCCACTTTATGAAGAACTAGCAAAGTAAATACCTCAAGTGAGCATTTATAAGACACACATTCACTCTATGTTTTTTATATCGTTTATGAATGAACTGAAGTTTCACATGAATATGCTGTACTAGAAAAGTCAGTAACTTTGCTTTTTGAAAGCATTTTTTATTTTAGAAAAGGAAGGTGCAAGAGTCTGGGGACTCTTCTTTATAAGAGTGGTGCATATTTACTCTTCCGGTAGTGATTCTCTTCACTACTAAGGTGATGGCTACTTGCAAGAAATAGTGGGAAATGCGAGAATCACCCTCTGTGTCTTTGTGGTACCTAATGCACAAAGAGCAAAGGAATAGTTGACACATCATAAAACTTTGATATAAAGAATGCACTTATTTCTTAATAACCCCTAAGAAGTAGATGCTGCTTGCATAAACATAAGGGTAAAAAGATTTTGATCAGTACAGGTGTTCATGACTTGCTAAGGGTCTGGACTGCCAAAAAGAAGTATTTTTGAGGTTCTTTTGTGATTTGTTTTCCTCTATACTATAGCTATCACAGTGATTCCTAGGAACTATAAAATCAACAGTAGAATATCTAAGAGGAAAGTGGTCAGAGGTTCTGTCCTTCAGGCAAAACACTGCTAGTTTTCATTCCATGAATCTGGAATGATCTTCCTTCAGTTGTTTTACTACTTCCCTACCTCCCTCTTCCCCAAAGAATTCTCATTTTCACCCTTAACATGTAATCTTTACATCTTATATTTTAAAGCCTCCAGAAAGGCTTATTGCACCACTAGAACCTGCTGGTAGAAGTTTACCTTCAGAATACAATTATTTTAGAAATATATCTTCTTGAAAAATTGTTAGAGGAAAGGACTAAGAAAGAAAGATATTGAAAGGCAAAATAATAAAATGTCCGTTCAGTCATTTGCTTATGGTGCAATCCTCCTACATGACCACTATTGCACAATTTCTTGAAATTTTTCTAAACTACGTAGAATATGCTCCACAGTTGGCTCCCCCCCCCCCCCGCTTTGCTCTGTCGAAATTAGTCATTCTTTGCATTTGTCACAAAGGGAACATTGTGAACTCTGGCCTTTTTGTCATAATTTTGCGGAATAGAGAGTTTTGAACTGAAGGGTCATTAAGTGCACCCAAGAAATACTCTACCCAGTCATGCAGTGTGTGTATTTGGCAGGACAAAAAATGCTGGGACACCCAAGAGATGTGTAGTGTGTGTGAAAATAATATAATGTGAAAAGTACTGTTTTTTATTGATTTGTACTTTTTATTATTTAAAGTTTTATCACAACATTCACAATATGTGCCAGCATAAAAGGAGGGGAGGGGAAAGAGTG